GCCACAAGGCTCTATTAAAGTTATATTCCATTTTACTCAATAATTTACTCATACGACACTAGTAGCGGCATTCCACGCTTACGCCCAGCAACCCCGTCTACGCGGCCCGCGAATAGCCACTCCCTCTTATCGTCTACTATGGATCCGTCATCCGCGAGGGACGGAAGGGAACTGCAAGTTTTAGATGTAGACTGGCACTCCGACCCAGACCCAGAAGAAATTCAACACTGGCTGAACGTTGGGCCAACGTTGTGATGTCGCGCGTTGGAACGCTCTCTCCCACCCCAGCCAACAAGGCTGGACGTTGGACCGACGTTGTATCAACGTTCCGAACGTTCATTCAGAGTTGATTCAACGTTATTTGTTTGGAATCGTTTGCAGGGACCCCGGTAGCACCCCTGGTCAATAATGTACTAATTTCAGTACTTTCCAGGGGACAGTCTTCTCTTTGCTACTGAGCCAAGTTCCTTAGAGGCTCAAATCTTCCATCCCTTCCATAGAGAGAAAATATTTATTTCGGCCCAGATATGAGGACGACGAAGAATCGCTCACAATCAAGTTGGAGAAACACCACTTATGAATTGCGATTTCAAGCATGCATAGGGAATAGGAACTTATTTATCGCCTGGGATCCATGATTCCGTTTCGAATATGGGGATAATAAATTATTAAGAGTCCGATCCATATTGCTTTCTATAATGAGACTCGGAAAGACATATGGTGAGGTACCAAACACTCCTGTGAGGGATGATTCCATGGAAAGAGGGAAGTGCACTTTTGTGTACTGCGCGAAAGGGAGACCCATACTGCCATCTAGTGACATGGAGGAGAACTTCAACATTTCCACAAAAGAAACCCTTGTGCGTGCAACTTGGGGCACTTTGGACCATCGCTTCAGTCTAATATTGGATCGATGATGGACTGGCAATATTGGGAAGCCAAAAATTAGCACTGGAGAGGTTCTTGGTCGTTTCGTGACAAAAAAAAGATCCTCTATCGGACTGGCAGTTTACCAGAGATATTTGAATAAAAAAATGAAATAGGTGTCATAGTGCCATAACACTGTTAAGACATGCATGCAACGTTTCACTTGGGCTTTCAAACGTCGACGACATCGTATTGACTCCAGTTGAACGTTCCCACAACGCTACTGCGTTTGCTGGGTATGTTTCATGCAGAAAAAATCATAAATTAATCATTTTCGTCCGCATTATTGTCAACTGCTTCATCAAGGTGGTTAGTGCAGCTACCCTCTGTGCTGAATGAAGAATGAAGAGTCGCAGAAAAATCGGCATCAGTAACCGCGGAGCCCAAATTGCACGCATTGCACGCATTTCGCACTGCAAAAGCAAGCCTCAATATGAGTCCCGCTTGGGGCTCGCTCATTTCAACCGGTTTCCTCTCGTTCCGCCGCTAATCGTCGAGTTCTAATAAGAGAACCGAAAAAAAAGAGTGGGCGCGAAATCAGCAATGGATGAAGTCGGCGACGACCGGCGTCCTCGCCGAATGCGTCCAGAGATCTATCGCTATTACGGCCGACGAGTAGTTCCTCGCCCTTGGGAATGAACCATCGCGGTGAACTCGTACTCAGTACTCACACAGTCTCAGTACTCACACAGTCCCTGTCACGATGGGACCCCGCCATCGATCCCCGGGACAGAATCGCCTGGAATTTTCCGAGTCTGGCTCGACTCGTTGGACGAATTTCCCTAAATTTGGGCGGCATCTGCCCTTTGCCCAATCAAGGCTGCGGCTGATTCTCCCTTACTTTACCTGTTCTTGTCGCCCGGTCAACAATTTTCGTTGGTCGGGCCACGGCAGGGGAAGTTGGCTCATTATGGCCGGTTCGCCGAAGGGGAGCCGACGCGGCCGAGATGGTTCCAAAAACCGGCGCGGGATGGAAGTGGCCGCAGTCGGGAGTCAGTTAGGATTCTAATGGAATGAGTCCCCTGTCCCGTTGACACGGTTCCCTGCAGTTTCTCGCGTAGATCTCAAAGAAATGGAATTCCTTGAACCACTTCCCTGAAGATGCAGCCTAGCCCCGGGATGAATGAGGAAATTCCGGCCCGGAGATCCGTGGGAGGACCCACCTACATCCCACGACTAGCTCCGCGACCCTTCCTAAACATCTGAAGACCCGAGAAGTCACGTGATCGGCGCGCCTGGCCCTCCCGCGGGCGGGCAGATACCCTTGCATCCAGGGCCGTTTCTAGGTGTGTTGGCGCCCAGGGCAAGAAGTTCTAATGGCGTCCCCCTTACCCCCTTTACCCCTCCGGCGCCCCGGGCGATCGCCCGCTTCGCCCGCCCCTAGAAACGGCCCTGCTTGAATCCCCACGCCACTCCACTCCTGGATGCCTCAGCATACGGAAGGAATGTCGCCTGGGGATGTTCTCGGCTCTATGACTATTACTACGAGGGTCACTCAATAAGTTATCTACCTGAATAAGAAAAAAACATCCGAGGGGAAAAATAACACTTTATTTTTCAAGATAGTCAACTTTTAACTCAACAAACTTATTCCAACTTTGATTCCAAGGATTTTCTTCCCTGGGAATAGAAGTCAACTTTTTGTCCATCAAACCACTCAGAAACGGCAACTTTCAGCTCTTCACTGCATGAAAATCTTTTTCTCTGCAAAAATATTTTCAAGTGTCTGAACGGAAAATAGTCACTAGGAGCCAGATCCGGGCTGTAGGGAGTGTGGTTGTGCTCCTGAAAGCCACAATCCCTCACTGCTGCCTGAACTTCGCATGATGTGTGGACGGGCGCGTTGTCATGGAGAAGAAGGACCCACCTTGACAACTTTCCTCTGCGTTTATCCTTGATGGCATCAAGTAAATTTTTCATGGTGGTAGCATAGGAATCGCCAGTGATTGTACATTTGTCTGGCATGAACTCAAGCAGCAGTAGTCCCTCGCTGTCCCAAGACACAGTGGCCATAATCTTTCCTGCAGATTTCTGAACACGAAATTTGCGAGGCGTTGGCGATCCCTTGTGCTTCCACTGCATGGACTCCTGCTTGGTTTCGGGATCCCAGTGATGAACCCAAGTTTCATCACCAGTTACTATTCTGGGAAAAAAAGTTTCCCCGATTTGTTTAGAAAACTCCAAGTTTTCCTTGCAGATGTCAGATCTGTTCTTCTGAGCTGGAGTCAGCATTCTTGGGACCCATCGAGAACTGACTTTGACTTTCCTGCAGATTTCTGAATACGAAATTTGCGAGGCGTTGGCGATCCCTTGTGCTTCCACTGCATGGACTCCTGCTTGGTTTCGGGATCCCAGTGATGAACCCAAGTTTCATCACCAGTTACTATTCTGGGAAAAAAAGTTTCCCCGATTTGTTTAGAAAACTCCAAGTTTTCCTTGCAGATGTCAGATCTGTTCTTCTGAGCTGGAGTCAGCATTCTTGGGACCCATCGAGAACTGACTTTGGACATGTGTAATTTTTCATGAATAATGTGAATCACTGTGCCCTCTGAAATCCCCAGTTCATGAGCTAAAACAGAGACTGGTGCGATGATTCTCCAGTATCGCACTCTCCAATTTGTCACACATTTCCTGATCAGAAGCCTCCACAGGGCACCCCGACCTTGGGTCATCTTCAATTGGCTCTCTTCCCCACTTAAACTGCTTGCTCCAAAATTTAACTTGGTAATAAGAAGGCGAAGACACACCATAAAAAAACTCCAAGTTTTCCTTGCAGATGTCAGATATGTTCTTCTGAGCTGGAGTCAGCATTCTTGGGACTCATCGAGAACTGACTTTGGACATGTGTAATTTTTCATGAATAATGTGAATCACTGTGCCCTCTGAAATCCCCAGTTCGTGAGCTAAAACAGAGACTTTGGTGCGACGATTCTCCAGTATCGCACTCTCCAATTTGTCACACATTTCCTGATCAGAAGTCTCCACAGGGCCTTGATCTTGACAGGCACATGACCTTGGGTCATCTTCGATTGACTCTCTTCCCCACTTAAACTGCTTGCTCCAAAATGTAACTAGGTAATAAGAAGGCGAAGACACACTATAAACGTTAGACATACGTTCATGAATCTCCTTAGGTGCTTTCCCTTCTTTGGTGAGGAATTTCATCACTGAACGATGTTCAACTTTCGTCAAATCCATGACACAGGACGCCCAGACCTTTGGTCATCTTCAATTGATTCTCTTCCCAACTTAAACTGCTTGCTCCAAAATTTAACTTGGTAATAAGAAGGCGAAGACACACCATAAACGTTAGACATACATTCATGAATCTCCTTAGGTGCTTTCCCTTCTTTGGTGAGGAATTCGATCACTGAACGATGTTCAACTTTCGTCAAATTCATGACACAGACTCAGGAAAAGAAATCTAATGCGCTACCACTTTGAACGGACTTGAGCCACTGAGCTGGTATAGTGGTGCGGCACTCACGAGACCTGCCGAGACATGTCAGAGCAGGCACAGGCCTGTTGCTCATGCCTTTCATATTCAGGTAGATAACTTATTGAGTGTCCCTCGTACATGTGTACCAAGTTTCAGATTTCTAATCTTTCTGGAACATGGTTAGAATTAGCCTCAGTCAGTCAGTCACGATCGTCTATATATATTAGATGGAATAATATATTAATTTAATATAATCATACGCATGCACTTATTTAATGAATGATAAAAGCATTGCAGTGCATGACAAAATAGACAAATGGAGAACTATTACCATCATCTCCACAACTCATAAAGAAGATGTCATCAGTACCATCAACATATGATTACTATAGCGGACATAATCCAGTATTACCTCCTATCAAAGGAATTTATGCTAGAGTGTGAACCAGAACTTTCTCGTGGAGCAAAATTTTCTTTCCTAAGAAAAAAATCCAGAAATCTTCCCTGAGGCAATGAATCTCATAATCCAAAGTCCAGATATAGACATATTTCAACATCTTTCCGGGAATTCTATCTACTTCTCCACACCATGAAAACACCCCTCTTTTGTTTTCGGATCTGAGAGACCGGGTGATATTGTTCCCAGGGATTCACGTGATATAGTTCCCAGAGACCTGATTTTCAAGCCTATAAAAGGTTGGGAATGTCCGGAGATCCTCACAGTCAAGCTTCAGCTACACTATCAGTAAGACGAAAGATCCCATCGGGAATCCGAAAGCCAGCAACATGAAGTTTTCCTTCGCCCTCTTCGTGCTCTGCACTGTTGCCTGTAAGTGAATTTCCATTTCTATAACATTCCGGGTCTGCCATAGAGTGTCTTCTTGGAACTCTTCCATGATCGATGCGACTTTGCCATACCAAAGCCGTGTCGTAAAGGTTTCGTAGTAACTTACACTCGATAGAATATCTGTCGGAAAATAGAGTGTTGGTTGAATATCCCTTCCAATATCACATACGAACACTCTGTAAACGTCGCAATTGCCTATATGGTGCAAAAGAAAACTTTCGGTAATGGCGTACTTGTTTTTTCTATTTCTCTAGATGCAAATGTCATCAAAGATCAGAAGGATTGTGTCATAGACTGCTGCTGCCCTGAAAATGGGAAGTGCATCGAATGCGCTGCTGCCTGTTGTGTTGCCTATCCCAACACCAACGCTGTTTGCCATGTTGGGAATAACAATTGCGAATGCTACAGTGAAGGCTGCCTGAGTGAGTCTTGTTTCTTGTACGAATATACGTCTCATCATGTATTGCAGCTCCTATTAATGTCTGACTCACAATGCCACGAATATCGTGTTCGTAAGCCGTTACTGATGTCCTTTCATCGAAATTGCTACAAATAGTCCCGTTTGGACTCTAGAACTGACGTTTTCAAGTTTTCTTGGTCTCACGGTTTCGCGTTTGATGCCATTTTAAGCACGAATTTGTTTACATGGTTTGCAATCATTTGCGCATCACTCGTTTTTCTTCTTGCAGATGTTGGTGTAAATAGTGCAAATGTCCACACGGTATTCTTGCCGCACTAACTCCTGACTGAAGGTTTTCAGCTTCCATATTTTACTATTTGGCAGCGAATAAAGCAACATATTCCATGCTCAGAAATTCTCTAGTCATTGATTATACCGTTCAAGTACAAAAGCACAAATTATTGACAGTGAAAGAAGAACAATCACCTCGATAGGTCCTCTACGATGGTGTCCAGCCGATGTTCGATACGTTCTGCGTTTCCTCTTTCCCCCTCTCTTCCTACATTAACGATTAGCTCGAAACAATTTATCCCCCCCCCCAGGTCGCTGTGTCGAAGAGAAATCGCGAATCGAGCGCGGGTGGTCGAGTACCTCAGCTTAGTTTCGTTTAACTTTGCAACTTCGCGAGATCATGTTCTTCAACTTCCGGCGAAGTGAAAGAGTTAACGACTGTTAGGAGGCCATGAAAGCTGTGCTTGGCGATGGATGTTCATGCATCGAGAACAAGGGCGCTATTGACGAAAATGAAAAGAAGGTAGCTCGTGTTGACTTCTGCCGCTAATTCCTTGCCGACTTCGAAAATGTCCAAGAACTTCCAGTTCATTGTCACTGGTGATGCTTGGTTTCACAAGTCCGACCCGGAAACCAAGCAATAGTCAATTCTTTGGTCAAAAAAGGGACCGACCCCGCTGATGAAAGCCCGTCGAGTGAAGTCCGCCGCAAGGTCATGATCGCCGTTTTCTTCTCGCCCAAATGCGTTGTTGATGCCATGCCATTTGAGGAACGACATACTGTCACCGCACAGTGGTACGTCGAAAACTGCCGGATGAAAGTTTTCAAAAACCTCTCCAGAGGTCGCTCCAAATCAAGTCTCCATCATCATTTCGTCCACCAAGACAAAAAGCTAGCCCACATAACGATCAAGATATTCCTCTTCATCGGCGCCTCTAGAATCAATGTGATTGAGGCCACGTCGTTTTCCCCGGACCTGCCGCCGTGAGATTTTTGGCTTTTTACAAAAATAATAATGTCTGTTCTGAAAGTTGTTTCAGATACGTGACGAGGACATTGATGTGGTGAACACTGAGCTTGGAAATCTCACAAAAGAGGATTTTCAGGAATGTTTTCAAAGATGGCTGAACCGCCTGAACAAGTGCATCGACATTGGCAGAGATTATGTCGAAAAGTGCTGCATAAATGCATGTTCTGTTACAAATAAAAAAATCATCCTATTCCATTCCACGCCAAATCGACCAGCGAAAAGGCTCGACTATCTTGGATTTGGACGAAAATCGGCACACATGTAGAAGAATTGATTTGAAGAAACCAATTTAAACCATTTTTTCTCTCTCGCTCAGATCTCTAGATACATGCATTTTAATAGGACCTACTTTTCGCTCCCAGAGCCCAAATGGACTAGAATTGCGAAACTGTTTCTGCAATAGCCTCCTCTCTATTTAAAATAAAAGCTTCTCTCTGGTGTCATTTTAATCGTGAGATTGCCTTCTTTAAAATGACTCTAGACATTATTATCCTAAGCTGAAACAAAAAGCTCCACTTGGTCAAACAGTTTGATCAAGTTCAATGGCCAATATGGACACTTGTCACATGGTGAATTCGATATTTCAATATTTCATTAAAAATGGCATGGTATGCCATTTTTTACTATTTCAAATTCAAGATTGGCACTCAATGGCTTGACGAGATATGAATATATTTGCGCGCCATTTCCTTTTGTTCGAACACTTTGACCGACTTCAGTGACCGACACCTGCACTTTCGGACTTCCGAACTTCTAATAAATCATTCAAAAGTGCCTGCTACGCCCTTTCTAACGATATAAAAGCCAAGGTTGGCACTCAATGGATTCATGAGATATAACCGTTTGTAGCGTGTGTACCGAAAATTCCACTTGATGTAACAATCAGACCGATTTCGGCGACCAACATTTCCATCATGTCTCCATTAATTTGAAGTTTCATTCATTAAAAAGTGCAACTAATGGCGGTTCTAACGCTACAAAGATCAAGATTGGCAGTTAATGCCGTAATTAGGTATGACTATTTCCACTGTCAATGCCAAAATTCGAACTGATTCAGCAGCTGGACCGATTTCAGGGACTAAAATCTATACTAGATCATCCTTAAATCCAGAGTTGTAATATTTATTTGAGAAGTGCACGCTATGTCCTTTCAAACGACACCAAATTCAATGTCGGCTCTCAATCGCTTCATTCGATATAACCATTCGACGAGAACACGAGTTTTTGAGTACTCTCGAAAAGGACTCATGGAAAAGGAGCTTAGTGATAAGTCATCCAATAGGTAAGATTATTGTCGACTTTTATTTATTTAATTTACTTTTATCAAGTTCCTATCATCCCAAAACATTGCACAACTTTCCAATAAAGGTACTTCCGTTTTATTATTATTATGTAATTGACTAAATAATTAAAACTAAATAAGTTTGTTGATTTGTTGCCGTTAAAAAAATAATATAATGTAATTTCATATGTTAGGGAAAAAAAATGCTCACAATTAAAAGTCATCAAAACTTCACGCAGAGAGCTACATAACATTGGACTACGTTCCCATTATTCCTAGGTGGAACTTTAAATGCACTGTTAATGTCCTCAAATTGTGATATCTCGTGAATCCATTGAAGCCAACCTTGGCTTTTGTATCGTTAGAAAGGGCGTAGCAGGCACTTTTAAATGATTTATTAGAAGTCCGGAAGTCCGAAAGTGCAGGTGTCGGTCACTAAAGTCGGTCAAAGTGTTCGAACAAGAGGAAATGGCGCGCAAAAATATTAATATCTCGTCTAGCCATTGAGTGCCACTCTTGAATTTTATATAGTGAGAAATGCCATACAATGTCCATTTTAATGAAATATTGAAACACCGAATTCACCATGTGACAAGTGTCCATATTGGCCACTGAACTTGATCAAACTGTTTGACCAAGTGTAGCTGATTGTTTCAGCTTAGGATAATAATGTTTAGAGTCATTTTAAAGAAGGCAATCTCACGATTAAAATGACACCAGAAAGAAGCTTATATTTTAAATAGAGGGGAGGCTATTGCAGAAACAGTTTCGCAATTCTAGTCCATTTGGGCTCTGGGAGCGAAAAGTAGGTCCTATTAAAATGCATGTATCTAGAGATCTGAGCGAGAGAGAAAAAATGGTTTAAATTGGTTTCTTCAAATCAATTCTTCTACATGTGTGCCGATTTTCGTCCAAATCCAAGATAGTCGAGCCTTTTCGCTGGTCGATTTGGCGTGGAATGACCTCATGTTCATTCCTTCTACTGAACGGATCGAACTTCTGTTGGACCCTTCGAACTTCTGCTGGTCGATTTGGCGTTGAATGGAATAGGATGATTTTTTAATTTGTAACAGAACATGCATTTATGCAGCACTTTTCGACATAATCTCTGCCAATGTCGATGCACTTGTTCAGGCGGTTCAGCCATCTTTGAAAACATTCCTGAAAATCCTCTTTTGTGAGATTTCCAAGAATGAAATGAATCACCCTGTGGAAACGAGGTTGAGCTAAAACTGCGACACCCAAAGAATTTCGGAGTCCTTCTGTTATTAATGTAACATACGAAGTTTCATGTAACGCAAAGTTTATAGAACGTCTATTTTATGCAATTTCGCAGTCAATTTTGAACGCTTACTAAAAACAGGGCCATGAAGCACATGAAACCTGTACGCTGTGAGGCTTAATGGTATTATTAGTGAGGCTTAATGGCACTTACGTGTCGGCGTCTCCTTGGTGGCATTTTCTGGGCTAGTCGGTGCGAATCCACTTCCGTTCGCGGGACTCAGCTGGTCCAAACCTGGAAAGAAAATTTCATCTCAGAAATCACATTGCGTGCAATCTTGGATCGATTATCTATTGAGAAATGGAACATAATGCTTTTTTTTCTACTCTCTCCTGGTGCGGATCCAAAGCGAATGTGTTTCATTTCGAACCGATTGACCGACAATTTGAGTTTCAATCCTTTTTCATCTGTTGCTTCGCCTCGTAACTGTTCCTTTTTCTCCGAAAAATCTCTGATCAACACAGATCACTCCGATTTTCCGAACGGTTTTTCAGCAAATCACGGTTTAAAGCACTAAACTTTGTCAATCGCAAAATGTCACTGCTTGCAATGAAATTAATCAATTCGTTAAAACAAAACTAAGACAAAACTGCTACGAACACACACATCGCACAAATTTCAGAGATCTAATGCTATTTTAGGAAGCAACTTTTATTTAAGGTACAAACATAAAAAAGGGCAATCCACCATTTTATGTCACCATAAAGAGTGAATCCAGAGCGCGTGATACGTGTTTTTGATCATCTTGATTGGAATGTCATGTAATATGTAAGTACAATTTCATTTTGTGTCAATAGAGCCTCAGCCTCGCTCTTAAGATTGCACACTGTTTCTGATGGTCTTTGGAAAGCGTGATTCAGCGATAGCTGAACATTTGGGGGGAGAGGTCAAGTATGATGCAACCTGTCACAAAAGTCGTCGCATCATACTTTTGCAATGCAAATTAATCTTCGGTGACGTCATGTGGAATCAAAGGATTTTCATGCGAAATATGAATAACAAAACCACCATTTTTGTTTCATTGCCCTAGTTTTCATGGGGAAATGTTACTGGTTCCTCCAAGCTATTGAGCTGTCCATTCAACCCAAAAAGAAGTCGGACCATTAACGGCATCTCGTCAAAAGTCAAAAGTCGGACCATAAACTGATGCCGTTTATGGTCCGACATTGACATGGTGACATTTTCATAACGCGAGTTACAGGTGACGCGAGTCTCACAGTGATTTTTTTCTTAGATGATATTCAACATACGATGTCTCACTTCTACTTTACTTCACGATGACTCTCCGTTTTTATTTATGTTCTTTGCGACTTCGTTTCCTCCTTCGTACGACTTACGTACTGCCCTTGTTCTATCCTTGACCATTCTTGGTTAGTCTTGGACGAGAGACTCCCAGACCTTTGGGACTGTCGCAGAAAGGGATGCTGCAAAATTCCCAGCTGAGATCATCGAACGAGACGAAGCACCAGGGCCGGTCGTTCATTCCCGGATTCCGACAGTAGTTCGCGTCCTGTTCCGATACAAAATCGCAGAAGTTTCTCTCAAGATCCTCAGAAATTCCATTTTTCTGGTCTTGGAATGAGAGATGAGACAGGATGATATCCGGCAGCGGTTTGTCCCCGGGCATGTCTCCCCACGCGAGACACTCCTTCCCGGTTTCGGTGCGGCTCTCCGACCCTATATATTCCTTTCCCTTCTCCGTCATCCGGCATTCCGGATACACCTGTTGCACTTCAATTTCACCTGAAATGAAGACGCTAGTTACTAGACTAGGGTTATTTGCAGTCGCAATTTGTCACAAACCCACAGCACGATCCAGCAAACTGGAAAGAGTACTCCTAATTATTAATGGCTCCGTACATAATTGGAATTTCATACTGAGACAACATTGCCATGAAGTCTTCAGTATATCCAGGAAGCCTAAACTCCTTGAAATATTGGCATCAGCACACTGCAAGTCCGGTCTGTCGCAACAAAGCAGCTTCAAAATTCGTTGACTTCATAGGTTTGGCCATTTAAAAATATAGACAGGCCTTTCTTAGCTGTATTAGCTATCCAAGAATGCATCCGACGGTGGTCCACTCCCCTCCTAGAATTTCTCTCGAATGCCGATGGCTTTGAGAATGTAGTTTCCCCTCTGATGATTCCTATCGTACTCGTGAAAATTTATCAAATTTCTTACTTCGGGAAATGAGCGATGCCATCGAGAATTTCCAACCAAGAGCAACATATCTGAGACGTACTCACATTCCATGAACTATCCACAAGAATATGTTTCAAGAAAACCTATTATCTGGGATCTTGGGACTTATATAACATCTAAGGAAGAGTTTCTTTTTCCTCTAACTGTTGTTTGTCTGACACCAGTGTCATCATTTATGCCACAAGAAGACT